GGGAGATGCGCCGGAGCCTGCACCCGGGGCATCGCTGCCACTGACCCTGATTTTTGGTGCCTGGTGCCTCCTTGCCCAGCGTCGCACTGGGGCTGATTGAATCCAGAGAGCTCAGCCCTGCAGCGATGGTTTGGGACGTCTTGGGGAAGGTTCAGTGCCTCGGAGCAAGCGCAGGGAGAAGGGGTCATGGAAGAGGTTCAAGGAGGGGGTTTGTCGGAGGCGAGGGGTTTGGCTTTCCGCAGGGAGCGGGGCCCTACAGGGAGCTCACACGTCCTCTTTCCCGGGCAGCCTGGGGCCAGCTGGAGCCCTGCAACAGGTCCCCGCCCAGGGGCTTGCCTGGGGGGGATTGCTCTGCCCGTTTGGTATAAAATTGCAGTAATTAAACCTCATTTACAGTGCTCAAGTACAAAGTAGAAGAGTAAACAGTGGTGGCTGTTTGCATTTATTCATCTGCGAACTAAGCAATTAGGATTGCAGAGCCAGGAGCGAAGAGCACAACTGTTCCCCCCACCACAGCCCCACTCACTCGCGGGGAGTCGAGCTCCTGTTCCCAGGCCAGCAAGGCAGGCAACCTCCCAAAATAAAGTTATTTCCCCCATGGCATTGGGCCAGGTGTAGAAACGGACTCAGCCGTGCTTCGCTGAACTCTCTAACTGTATCAAATGGCTGCCGCTGCCAGAGGAGGCTGCGGGGAGAGCCCAGGGCCAGGGGATGCACTCACAGCTCTTGACTGCCTCCATCACCGGAGCTGAGCCGTTCAGGTTCACAGCACCCAAAAGGCTCCCCGGAGTCTGCTCTGGGCCTCTCCCGGGGGTGGGTGTATTGTTCACAGCAGCAGGTTGCTCGGGATCTCCCTTTCCCAGGTTTTGCTGCACAAATCTCTTCCTTCCAGGGGAGCCCCCCCAAGCCCTCGACAGCCCCACTCCTGACACGCGAGGGAGGTGGCAGCAGCTGCCACGCACCCCTCAAGATGCAGGCGCTCGCTGGTTTTGAACAGCGCCAGCAAAGTTGGAAGTCTCGAGCCACTAACGCTGCCCGTCTCCTCTGCCTGCACTGGCACCCTCCGAGCCTCTCGTTGCCCGCAGAGGGGGGCCAGGGTGGGCAGCCATGGGGGCAAAGATCAGTGAGGGTTAAACACCCCACCAGCACCCGGGAGGCGCAGGAGTGCCTCAGCCCCAGCAGCCCAGACATGGCTCTGTTTGCATCTCATCACACACCTATCGGTGCGCTGAGGCGAGGGGCTGGGAAGGCAGCACCAGGGCAGAGCTGCCGGGGCCCACCAGCCATCCCGCTGCCAGGCTGGGGGGCCGGGGAGGGTGTCTGCAAAGGGTTTTGCTTTGCCCCAGCTCTGGTCCCATCCACCAGGGCAGCGGCCAGTTGAGCCGCCAGCCGTGCTGCAGCACACGCTGAGCCGCCCAGCACCAGGCAGCCTGCACGCACCACACGCCAGCAAAGAGCACGGAAAATAAAAAAAAAAAAGCCTGACAGATGTCCTGCGAATCAGGGTTTGGGGGAGCTAGTTTATAGCAGAGCCACAGGGGCAGCCCCTGGCTGCCAGATCTGTCTGGCTCCCTCCGGACTCGCTGCCCTCTCCGCGCCGTTGACTTCAGCCAGCGGGACCCCATCCAGACGCTGGCGCAGGGATGCGCGCCGGGGATGAGGCAAGTGCCAAGTGTGGCGGGGGGGAAGAAAGAAAGAGACGACAGTCAGAACTACTCACAGAGGCAAAATTTAATGGCAAGTCATCTTCCCTCCTTTATTACACCTTGGTTAGCCAAACAAAAAAAAAAAGTCTGCAGGTAAAAAAAGTTTTAATGGTCACACAGCATACATATATCGTAAGCAACCAAGCATCCACATCTGCACGTGAACGACACACCTCTAAGCATGGCCTCAATAGTCAGGTCTTTTTTTTTTTTTTTTCATTAAATACTGTACAGAATCAAGGCTACAAACTGATTTTGTAATGCTTCTTCCCCAACCCCAGCACTTAAAACAGTTACAGGCTGCTCTCATTTGTACATCACACAGTCATGTAGCCAGTTTTAAGGCTAACAATATGCATCATGCTTTGGCTTTTTTTGTGTGTTTTTAATTTTTTTTTTTTTTTTTTTTTTTTTTTTTTAATTTTGTTACCCTTAAATATTACATACATACACAAAAAATTACATAGCTGCAGTGTGCTCACCACCAACCTCATCACCCAGGAGCTTCACATTATCAAAAGCTTTAGAAAATTTGTAAACCTCCGTGCACGCTTCGGTTTGGGACAGCCAGCTACGGAGAGCGAGCGATACCAGGGGTAGCGGCAGCTGGGGAGCAGCATCCCCTTCCAGAAGGCCAATACACACCTCCTCAGTAGGAAGCCCCAGGAACCTGTGCAAAAGCTCTTGATTATGATCAGAGGAAACAAAGAGACTTCTTGGGCGAAGGGGAGGACTCGCGGGGTCCGAGCAGCTCATGCCAGCAGCACCGGCTGCCTTCCCTCCTCCCCGGGGCAGGTGGGCAGCCTCAGCAGCTCCTGCTGGCCGCCTTCCCGGTGAGATGAGAGCTGCAGAGAGTAAAGGGTGGGCGAAACAGGGAACCCCCAAGAGCTCCTCCATCCCACCGCCCCCAGCCACGGCTTGGCCCTAAAGGGTTTTCTCCCTCCCTCCCTGGCGTGCAGGGCTAAGGACAGCCGCAGCCCGGCACAGGTGACAGAGGAAGTTGGCGTCCGTAGATCACCAACCGCAATTTTGTCTGGTGAGTAAGAGGTTTAATCATTTGTGGAACAAGCCTCTCTGCCTGCCCTTCCCCTGCCCTGAAGCAACAGCCTCACCCCTCTGCCCCAATCAGCCCTTTATATTTTGGAGACGCCCCCGCTCCTCGCTCAAAGAGATTCATTCATTTAGCACCAGCCACAGCCAGAAAGCGGCCGTGAGTTACGTGTGCAGTTCGCACTGCCCTGCCTGTGGCTCAAAGCATCTCTCTGCACCCCGGATGGGGGTCTGTCGCGCTGCCAGACCTCCTGCCTGCCGGGCAGGCAGGGCTCCCAGTGCCGGCGCAGGGCCAGAGCTGCTGCACAGGCGATCCACCCGCAGACCAGTGCGCTTAGAGAGCTCGGCAGGCCCAGGTCTTCGTTCGCAGCCAAGCCCTGCTTCCTCCAGAGCACCGGGAGCAGGACATGCCTTCCAAAATCCCGGCAGTGGATGGTGACACGAGAAGGGCTTTGCGCAGCCAGCCCCCTGGCTCCGGAGCATCACGGGGGCAGCTGGAAATAGCACAGGCGATCCACCCGCAGACCAGTGCGCTTAGAGAGCTCTGCAGGCCCAGGTCTTCGTTCGCAGCCAAGCCCTGCTTCCTCCAGAGCACCGGGAGCAGGACATGCCTTCCAAAATCCCGGCAGTGGATGGTGACACGAGAAGGGCTTTGCGCAGCCAGCCCCCTGGCTCCGGAGCATCACGGGGGCAGCTGGAAATAGCAGGTGCAGGGACCTGGGTGGGGGGATTTGGGCCAGTGGGCGCAGACCCTGGCGTTTCAAGGAGCAGAAAGCACCGTGCAAACGTGCTGAGATTCGGCTGCTGTTCTCCGTTTCAAAATGAGGAGGCCAGATCCTGGCCCGGGTTGGGGGGAAGGGACACAGCCATATCGAGCAAGAGCAAAGGAGAGTTTTGTCTCCATCCTTACTTCTGGCAGAGCCGTCTGCTCAGCCCGACTCCTCCCCGGGAAGCCTGGCACCACTGGCTCCCTGTGCCAGCTGGAAGGACCAACGGACTCTCCCTGACAGACCGTGCTCCACATGGATGCTAAGTGGGTGCTTCTCCAATGCCTAAGCATTGGGCAAATGCAGTAGTGCCGGAGTGCAATCTCCCAGCTCCAGAAGTGAAAGTAAGTGCGTGCACACACAGAAAAAAAAGAGGGTTCAGGAAGGTGTCTTGACCAGGAGACTCTGGCAAGTCACTGCTTCAAAGTGCTCACAGTCACCAGCTCAGATAGCTCTCTGCTGCTGAAACACGGGCTGATCTCGCCAGCCATTTCCCAGAGCGGCACAGCAGCGCTGCAGTTGAGATTAGGGATAGTATGTGCTGTGCCCACAACGCTGCCGGCCACAGCGGACCCAGGCCACCATGGGAAACAGCTGGCAAGGGAAGGAGTTGATAACAGTCCGCACCAGTGTCGGCTGTGCTCCAGTTGCTGGCTGAGTAACAGCACAGGAACGGTCACAAACTGCTGCTGCTACTACAACAGGACCTCCTCACAACGCGACAGCTCCTTTCCCTTGGGTGACCCTGGCTCAAACAGCTCCGAAATACCCATCTACAGCCGAATGACGGAGAAGCAGCAGCCGTGCCAGGTTCACCATCCAGACTAGCTGCTAGATCTACAATACTCCCCAAGATCACTCGCTGCCGCCTGCCCAGGCGAGGCGGAGATCCAGGGGCAGGTGTAGTGCTGTGTGACAGCCAGGACGGCTGGGAACGAAAGACGCGGATACCTAAGCAAGTAACAAGGGCAGAACCTTGAATCCCGTGTATTGCTAGAAGACAGGCATGCATGGTGGGGAAAGGGAAGTTTGCCTTACTCTGGAGAAAAAGAAGTGGGGATGGCTAGAATTGCTTCCAGAAAACCGACCAGAAGTTGCAGAACTGGATGGAAATCCCGCAGCACTACCAGGGCAGCACAAGTGCTAGTGCAGAGCTCTGGTTCTGCCTACCGAGTCCCGATCGGAAGAACCCCGCAGCTATCGGTGAACAACTAAGACTAGAGCAACTCCGTATGGTGTAGACAACTTCAATGCAAACACAATCCAATGTCTAAGTACATATAAGCTGGGGTAGACTTCATAAAACCCATGGTAACGCAGAGAAAAATGAAAGACCGGGAGGGCATTGCCCTTCACTTCCAGATACTACAGCAATCACTTCTCCTGGCTTGAACCCCACCAGAACAAACTGCTGGGTGTAGCGCTGGGTGGGAACAGTCCTTGTGTGGAAAGGTGCCCCAAGATGAAAGTGCAGAGGGAACGTGGCTGCAAGACTGCTTCTGTGCAGGTCTCAAATCTTACCATTGCAGGGTCAAACTCGCAAGAGGAGCACGTACATGGGACAGGGGGAAGGAAGAAGGGCTGGGGGCAAAGAGTTATTCATGCTTAGACAGCTTTTCCTCGGAGGAGCAATCAGGCCTACCACCTTCTTTGGAACAAACCAAGCTGAGGAAGAAAAGCTGGAAGGAGAAGCCAGTTTACTGGTAACAGCGTTTGCCAATTTCCTTTCTGCTGCTTTCCCTTCTCCCCTGCACCTGCCTGTCCCTAACCTGACGGTTTATTTGTCCTCTGTCCACTCTGGGATATTGGCCCCTGCTAAGGCAGCCCGGTACTGCTGCAAGACACCGCGGATGCTTTTAATGAACCCCTTGGACAAAGGGAAGAGGGGGAACCCAATATCAGGGTAACCGCTCTTCTCCGGAAGGAAACTCCTGTAGCTCTTTCTCCTTTTCTTTGGTTTCACACTAGGCTGCAAGGCAGAGTCCTGGGCAGCCTTCCCCTCGTCCGTTCGGTCTCTGGCCAGGTCTACCCCCCTGGCTTGGCCTGTGCTCTCCGAGTCTGAGTACTGTTGGAGATCACCAGCGTTGGGCGTCGAGGTTGTGAACTCCGACTCGTCCAGCTCCTCCTTCCCGTCGAGTGCCGAGTCGGAAAGTTCAGCGGCCGCCCCCTGCTCCAAGCTGCTGCTGTACTCCCCCAGCGATCCCACATTGTCTCCTGGGCTCTCGGCCAGGGTGCCGCAGGCAGAGAGGAGGGAGGCAGAATCTGCCCCATTGGCCTGTTCATGGCTCCGCTCCACCAGCTCGTTCGTCTCCAGCCAGGACTCGATGCGGGACACCAGGCGCCAGCCGTTGCAGCGAAAATGCTCGCGGATTTCGTGCTCAAAGACTTCCACCGGCCTGCGCAGCAGCTGCATCATGGACTGCACCACCCGGATCAGGGTCATCTCATTGTAGCAGCGACTGTTCTCATAGCCCTCCTGGAGGCCCCGGTCGCTGTCGAAGCCCGCCTCGTTGTAGTAGGGCTCATTCACTAGGATGAGACCTGCCAAGAGAAGGGGAGACCAAGGGATTAAGGGAAGAACTTTATCGTGAATTGCTACCCGAGGCAGACACTGCTGGGCCCCGATTTCTGCCAAGGTGGTTGAGGTTCGAGGGTCACAGCACTGCCTCGCTGAGGCATCACACCAGCTTCACCCGCAGCCACACCAATGCAGGCAGCCCGAGGCTGGCAGCAGGCAGCGCAGGGAAAGGACCGCAGAAGAACGCACTGCAGGGAAGCTGTGCTTTGACTTCAAGCAGGTAGCAGAGGCCAAGCTGGACAACCAAGAACCTGCAAGATGCACTGGACTGGTATTGCAAGGGGAGCACTCATGTGAATGGGTCTGTGGCCTTCTGCTAGGGCAGTGGGGATCTTGCACGATACTGAGAGTGGCATGTGAGATCCTTGGCCGGCAAGAATAGTCTTCTACCCAGTGTGATGCAGAGGGAACGCAACAGCAGAGCAGGTCAAAAGGGGAAAGGTTTCACAGCTCCTTTCCCTTCCCTCCTAGCAAAAAACCCACAAACACACCCAAAGCTTTGTTTTTTTCCCTCCTCCTCTTAATCAGAACAAAGGTCAATTTTCAGTAACAGGCTTTGAGCTGGCCGGGTCCTATCCTATCCAGCACAGTCCCATCAGGCGGTGCAGTTCTGAGACAGCGAATACTGTGACAAGTCACCCATACCAAGCTTTCTCCTGCTTGCTTCTGGTCTAACGTAATGACACGTATGTAGCAACGGCACCAATACTGCCAGGCTGCTGGCAGCCTGCCACAGACTGCATTAGAGCTGGTGGAGGTGAGCTCACGAGTCTCTCAAAGCCCAGGCAGCAGGAGGGGTAGAGGAGGTTTTTCACTAGCACCAAGTTGCTCCAGTAAAACATTTAGTATTTCATTTTCTAAATTTGGATCCTCAGCTTTGTAAAAAAGAAAAAGCTTTTCTTGTGGTGTCATTCCCCCCCAGGAGGATACAGGTGGACTGTGAGACTTCAGAGGAGCAGGAGTCACCTACTGACTCGAGGCAGGAGCACTTGCTCTGTATCAAAGGTTTCTCAAGTCACATGCCTGGGCTCCCTGCACAGAAAGTTGGCCTTGAGGAAGAGATTTGATTTAGTCTGTCTGCTCTCAGACTAGATATGGCAAAGCCCTACGGCAGGAAGCCCTGGGGCTGGTCTAGACACACCCCTGATTATTCTCTGCTTCAGAAGGAGCATAAACACCATCATCATGTGCAAAAACATGCCCAATGTAGGATGGGCGGGTGACTCAGTGGGGATAAAAAACAGTCCTGCAAATGAAGCTCAGTTTAGCAACTTCAACTAACTTTGGTAACTGGCTGAGGACACAGCGGTTCACCTTTGTCAGCTCAGAATAACAAGCAAGACAGCTCTGTGCTTAGCTGCCACAGTGAGAAGAAGGGATTGTGTCAGAGACCTGGGATGCAGCCAAAAATCAGGGCATGAGAAAAGCTTGCATCTGCTTTGACTGCTGAACTGGAGAGATAAGGACACTGCTTTGTCCAGCAAGGTGAGAGCAAAAGGCAGCACTAACCCAACTGGGGTGGCAGATCCCAACTGTGTGCCCCCCCATAAGCCCGCATCCCCTCCTCCCTCCGCCTTTTCCTGTCTCGCAGGCTCTGCAGAAGCATTTACCTTGGATGGAGATGAGTACTTGAAGGAGGCTGGATTTACTGGTCCACCTTTCTGTCCCCTGAAATGCACGTACAAGTGTGTTAAAGGGCTGAAGCACCATCAGTTTGCACTGTGATAGTTGTTAGATGAAGTGAGGCCCCAGTTTCTCTGCACCCCTATCGTTAAGGTCCTGTGGCTTGCAGCAGGAACAAGGGACTGACTCAACAAGCACGTGATGTGCTGGTGTCCCATTGTACCAACCCATCTCTCCGTTACTTTTTGCCAGCACTGCACCCCATCAGGCCAGTTCTGCCTGAAACGCTGTAACCCTAAACACCAGATGCCAGTTCCAACCCCTCCCCAGCTGCCCTGTTGATCTACCTGCCCAAAACACAGCATTTCCCTGGCTCTGTTTATTCCAAGTCTCCAGCTGGACTTTGTGCCACACTACATGATTTGTCTGCAGTGTGGGAGACAGGGACTCAATCCACGGGAGAACACCCCATGCTGGTGTTGGCATCTCTGCTCTGTCCAACTGTGCCACAGCCCAGCTGGTCTGACCACAGGCTTCTCATCAAGGAAGGACAGACAAGAGCCAAACACAGTCCCAGAAGAAGCCAAACTACACCAGCTACCTGCTCCAGACATCTAAAACAAAGCCCAAAGCCAGAGCTATCCCCAGCTGAAGCACCACCTGAAACCAGAAGCCACCCAGGGCTCTTGGCCTAGTAGGAAGTGGCTTGTTCCAAAAGCAGCCTGGCACAACCACTGCTCCCCACAGACGAGCAGATGAAAGTGTTACCTTGCCTATCCACGTCCCCAGGAGGCTGACACACACTTTGCCGTTGTCGTACAGGTTGGGATTCAGTCTCCCACTGCACTGGGAGAGGTAGCGGAAGAGAGGCGGGACAGCGGGGTAGATGTTGGGGAGCTGGATATCAAAGAGAAAGAGGCCATCTTCATAGGGCGTGCGTGTGGGCCCTTTTATAAGTGCTGAGAAGAGATCCTGTGGAGAGAAGAGAGAAGCCAGGCACTGTGACAAGTCCTCCTACCTCGGCAGGGTTGTATTTACATAGAGGGAGAGAGGGGCTGTGATGAACTCAGCCCTTGCAAGAGTCAGCTCAAGCAACACATCTCAGGGCACCTTCCCCCTAGAAGCTGCACTTCTACTATGGCCTGACGGCAGACCAAACCTTCAGATCTGAAGCGGGGCTTCAGAGGACGGCCAGCAATCCCCAAGCCGCTCAGTGGTTAACATCAGCCCCTTGCTGACTGCCTGCCTGCCTTTCCTGCTCAGTGGGACAGGCAGCCCAGCGGGCAAAGCACCCAAAATAGGCTTCCTGCAATGAGGAGCTCCCCCCACTGTGTCACCCTGACTTGGGGAATGCAAAAGCAGCCGCTTACGGTAATTACAGCCATATTTCACATGCTGCACACATTCCTGCAGCTCTAATGCAAAGGATTAAGGCTAAGCAGGGAATTCCAAAGAAAGCAATCCGGATGCTGAGCCCAGTACTAACACACAAGCATTTGAGAGCAGACACTTGCCATTCGATCCTCAAAAGTTTTAACCATGATGCCATCAGGCAGGGAGGTGGCCAGGAGAGCCATCTCTTTCCGCACGGTGCTAAAGAACTTCTTTGCTTCTGGGGGCTGGAACTCCATTTTCTTGAAGGCATGGGTATCTGTGGGGCAAGGAGGAGAATGGGATTAAAGTCTGCCTTTGGAAACTGCCGCAGGTTCCTTGTGAAGGCAAATCTATCCATGTGTTAAACCTATAATTTGGAAGAATTGACTTGCTTTGGTGCTGAGCCAGGAGGCAGCCTAGAGATTATTTGATTTTCCCCACACTGTACAGCAGCCACAACCTGCATCTCCCGTTCTCATGGTCCCACACAACATTGTCGCTGTCCCCCACAAGGAGCCCTGTCCCACAGCTGGGACAATGGTGCATTGCGCAAAGTGATGGCCCTTTCTCTGCAAAACCTGAGCACAGCTCCCCATCTTTATTTATACACACCTGCAGGTTCAGAACAGTTTGGCTAACTCCTTCTCACGTCTGGCCCGGCTGCCTGGCTCGCCGAGCACCTTGGGCTCCGCTGTCACCAGTGTTCCACACAACCAGATGCTCTTTTTTATTTTTGGCTGACTAACATTGGCGCAAGTGAACAAGGACACTCACCCACCAAGGACACCCAGCACAAGAACACCAGCTGTTCCTGCTCTGCTTCTCAATCAATCCATCCCTGCAAAAAAGCCTGAACAAACCCTGAAGCTTTCAAGAAAATATCTGCAACGGAAAGCGACTCATCTCCACAGCCTCCAAAGTTAGTTACCAACGTGGACAAAGGGGAAGCCCACTTCTGTGGCTTGAGAAGTTACGGTAGTGCCTAGAGATGCCATCTAAAAGCCAGGTTTAAGTCCCAGAACAGACTGTGCTACAGAAGTTGTCTAAATTTCTCCTCCCCAGCTAATGAGCTGTGAAAAGGACTAGGAAGAAGAGAAGATACCCAATCTAAAAGGCCTAGAAGCAAAGGTTCTGGAGAAAGAAACACTGCAGGACAGCAACGAAGGACAGAGTATCCCGCGCTGGCCTGACCGACACACTCACCTGGAGCATACTCCAACACAGAAAAGACTTCTCCCTTGGCACTGGTGAAGGTGACTCCAGGCTTGCCTCCACTCTGCTGGCAGAGCACTGGTGTCTCACTGGGCCACTCCGACCTCACTGGTGTCTGTGCCTCTGCTTTTTCTTCTTTCTTCTCCGTCTCCACCATGGCTTCCATCTTTTCCTCCTCTGCAATAGCCACATTATCCAAGGTCTTCTTTAGATTTTCCTGCAGCTTTTTAATATCGTCCAAGAACTTCTTCTCCCGAGTGGGTTTTTCCAGCTCCACAGTTGGGGAGGTGGGAGAGCCAGTCAGCAGCTGCTCCACAGTCATGTTTTTCAGGCTTTCCAAGATCTTGATGGCCTCCTTTAGTTCCCGGAAGCTCTTTGGGGCTCCGTCCTTGCCAGCTTTCTCTGCAGCAAGGTCTGCAACTGCCATAGCCACAGCTCCCTGGACTTGTTCCTCTACTTTTTTCACCTCCTCTGCTGCCGGCTCCTCAGGCTCTAACTCCTCAATTTTTGGGTGGTCGTCTTCCATGAGGCCATTGTCTGTCTCCCAGCTGTCGCTTTCATCCTCCCACTCAGAGGATGCCCCGCTGGTGCTGCCGTCAACAGAATCGTAGTCTGACTCCTCAATTTCTGATTCAATATTGTATAAGTGCTAAAGGAGAGCAGAGTTACAAGAGGCTTAGGCTGAAGCACAGAGTTTTAGTTGTTTTTAAATGCAAGTCAGTTCTCCCCATGAAAAAGGAGCTTCCATCTAGGATTAGTTGGGCTGTTTCAACCCTTTCAATCTATACAGGGTGGACTGTGTTTGATCCAAATAACATGCTCATCAATGACCAGCACAGATTATGAATCAGCATAGCCCCATCCTCCACCTTTCAAACTAGGGCGCTGGGGGAAAACTAGGGCAAGTTCTAGGTGGGCTGCAGCCATCCCAGTGGCTGGGATCCAGCCAAGGAGAGCATGCAGGCACCAAACAGCTAGCTGGATGCCGCAGGGTTTCTGAACGCAGAGCTAGTTCAGGAGGTATTGGGTATCGTGTGCGGAGTTAGTATTTCTGGTCCTGCTTCTGCACCAGCAACTGTGTTGGCACAGAGCCCTAGTTTGGCTGCCTCCACACTCTGTGCCTTCCACAGAGACAATGCTGGAACCAGGAAAACATTCCCACACCAGCTTTCTTCTTCTGTGGCACACAACGCTGCTTTAGCTGTTGTATGTCACTACTGCTTAAAATTCAGCTGGGACAATGAAGCCTAACCCAAGTTGCTGAATAAGCTCTTATGTAAAACGTTCTCTTCCCCTTCACTACTGGAAGCTGAACCCATCCACACTCCGTCTAGCCTCACGTGTTATAATCATGCTTTTGCACATGCTACGTCTCTCACAAGGTTTCCCTGCAGAGGCTTACAGGCATACTCCAGCTATGAGCTCCAACACAGAAGCAAGGGAGCAAGAACAACTTTGTGAGGCTGCGTTAGGAGTTTCAAGATGGAACATTTTATCCACAGGCTTCTGACACTTGAATGGTGGCCCAAGAATCCTCTTAATCTTGCAAGATATGACCCCAGAGGCTAAAGCACGTGGACACTCAGTCATCTTGTCAAAGCCTTGAACTGAACCAGCACTGTTCAGCTAGTCCTGTGCCACCCAAAGACAGGCAGCCAGCAGGGGTTAGTTGGGTTAGTGACTGCAGGCAGGAAAAGCCATCAAAACTCACTGCCCTCAAAGCTAATCCAAATCTGAGTCAGAAAGTTAATTAGCCAGTTATGCCATCTTTATTTTTAGAGCTGAGAAAAAGCACCCAGACAGCTCGTCTCTGGGCACATGGACAGGCATTGATAAATCACAGTTTTACCAACTGATAATTCACACTCCTGACATTTCCCCAACTCCCATAATTACGCAGACGAGCAGGATCGAAGGGACTGGTGTGACACAGCAGGAGCTGCTGCAGAGTCCCACCACCGCAGTGTGAGAACAGCCCTTTGTGGAGCACACATCAGACCTCCGATTGTGCCTGTGATCCAAGCACATGTGACAACAGGGGGAAGGGAGACAGCAGCCTGCTTTGTAATGCTCTAGTCCACTGCCATAGTGCAGGCATTGACTATTCTACTGTAATTAATGCAGAGCTGCTTGGTTTAAAAAGAAATCTTGATCGAGTGCTTTCTACTTGCAAACGCATCTCTGCAGCAGAGGCAGTGGTGTTCTCTGCCACAGCGACGGAGATGGAACCCTACAGAAGCAGATATCTTCTCTTATCTTTAGGCTGTCTGCCTTAATTTGAGGCAACAAGAAGAGACATGGGATGAAACTGTACGTGGAGTAGTGAATAAGATTACAAGACAGTACAACAAAAACCTTAGAACAATGCAGAAGGCAAATCAATGGAGTTAAGTGGATTAGTGTGGCTATATCTGTATTTTTAAGTTCGCACTCAACTCCTTTCCCTCCCCGCCCTGGGAAGAGATTTGGGTCTGATCCCTAGGTTAGCTAAGGTCACAACTTGTGGCTCTAGCCCCCAGCTTCTGGAGGAGCTTCTTTAGCCAAAGAAAACACTATGGTGCCATTTCACAAGCAAGACAGAACAAGCAATCGTCTTTCAGCAGTGCCTTAGTTGGGCAACGCAGTGAGCCTGGGCTCAGGTCAGGACTGATGATCCCTGAGCTCTGCAAGCCCCTCTGCAAAGCAGCAGGTGCTGGAGGCCAGGAGCAGGGCTGTGGTCAGAGCTGTGAACATGCAGTGCAGCGTGTGAAGGGAGCAATAGTCTGCCCATACTTTCCTATTCTCTATATTCAAGAGCAGTGATGACCAATTAGTTGCCCAGTCCTCCTGACAAAGGAAGGATTTTCTTGTGCTAACAGAATTGGGAAGCCACCCTGTCATATGGGAACACAGCAATAAATAGAGCAAGATTCCCTTACCCAGTGAATCTCTCTGCACCCAGGATTTAAAACCAGGATTTGTCACTCAGCTAAGAATTACAGGGATATCGCGAGCTGGAACAGGACCTCACCTGAGGCAGAATGATAGTCTTGGAGTTATCAGCCCACACCACTTCCACTTTACTGCTGACATCCACACGAGCCACCTGTCCAACCGAAGGCTGTGGAAACACGAACAGTTTGTCAGTCCCTTTTCTTTCCCAGGCATTTCAGTGCAGAGCCAGGAAGGTTTTCAGAAAAAGATATTCCCCAGGTTGGAGACCCACCCAAAGCAATGATTGCAGCCTGCTGCAGAAGTGGCAGGAGTCCTGGGGTCCCACGCCAAGGGGGAGAAGAAACCTACAGATAGGGTTTCCATGAGAAACCCCACAACACTGCCACAGAGATGGGGAAAATTCCACCCCCCCCAAGGAGGAGAGGACCAGGAGGGCTGGTCTGGCAGCAGATCCTGACTTCTGATCAGGACCAGGGCCATTGCAGGGCTGTGGCCTTTCCGCAGGCAGCACTGCCGGGGTTGTGCCAGCAAAGGGGACAGGACCTTCCCCTGAATCGGGCTGCCCTCTAGTGGGGTGCCAACAGCCAGCCCCCGTGCTCCAACACCCAGCATCAGGGGCTCACAGCAGCTTCTCCCAGCAGAGAGAGTGCAGGCGTGAACAGACAAGTCACAGTTGGCACAGGGTGTGCACAGTAAGTAGCATCTTGCACAGGAAGAAGGTTATTTAGGTCAGCTGAGCAAGCTCGGATGTGTTTCATGCTGCTGAAACTAGAACCGAAATAAGAGCCACGTTATACCTTTTAACCCTTTTTTAGGGCAGCAGTCTCAAAAGTTGGAGGTCTTCCCTGCACAGTAAGGAAGCCTGTTTCCTAGCAAAGAGTGTATCCTCTACAATATAAATTGTTCCCTCTTCCTCCCCAGGAGATCAATCAGCTCAATAAAATTAACATGTACGTAATAACCCAGATGAAAACCAGAACCCCAGTCTTCTGTTGCCAAGTGAAACTGGTTTCATGACAAATCCACCTTCACTCTTGCTCAGCAGCCCACAGAATATCCTCATATTAGAAGTTACTCTGAAATCCTAAGCAGGAGTTTTATTAAAAACCCTCAGGCATACGTTCGATTCTTGTCTCAACTTTGTTCTTGCTCTGATACAGACTGTCACCAAGGTCAAAGGATTTCAAGGTTACATCTCCACCAGACTTAGAGATTTGATATGTTACTCATGACAGCAGGGGACACTGATAAAAAACACTAGCAAGGTAGGGAGTTCAGGATGCCTGCGTGGGGCCTAAGGCCCTCCTATTAACTTTTTCAAGTGTCTCCACTAATACCTGGCGACAATGCAGTCACGTAACTGTGCCCAGAACCTACCTCATCTTCCTTAGCTGTGGCTCCGTCCGAGTTGCCAATGCGAATCACAATGTCAGTAGTGCGGAAGCGAAAGTCTGGATGATCAGCAATATCATACACACTCACATCCTCCTCCTCCCCGATCAGCTGTACCGGGACAGAATGTGAATGTGTCAGCCCCAGGATGCTGCACTGACCTTCAGAGCACACCTTCAACACTTGAAAGTACTTTGTGTTATATTTCATCAATTTTCAGTTGCTCCAACAGCCTGCAAGGAGCTGCTAATGTCCCTTCCTGTCACCTCATCCTGTAGCACATCAATCAAGGCACAACAATGAAAGGAAGCAGATATTCTGTCTCATCTGCTCACCCTTGCCTTTACTTCAGGTTCCACATCACTACGATCAGGAGACATGGAAGAACAACATTTTATTCCCTTCTGAACACCCAGATTTCTCAAAGCAGTTCATTGGGGCCCAAAGGGTTAGAGTTTACTTTTGAAACGATCCAAGGCAACGAGAAGTGTCTGACAAAAAACTTGTCAATTAATGGGAAACATCTTTCCTTTGATTTCTCCCGGAGGAAGAGAGCTAGGAGCCCACCAGTAATGACAAATGGGTAAAATGGAGCACAACCACAGGCCAGACATGTTCTGCTGATGGACGGAAAGGGCCCTGCTCAGTTATGACAATATGGTCTCCCATCCTAAGGCAGAAAGCAGTATACCAGATTTGTGTGGTTCAAGTCCCCCTCTCATCTCCAACTAGACTGTAGTCTATCGAGACTCTGCAAAATACAGCGTTTCTACAAGCCCTGAGAAAAAGGTATCAGGCTGACTATAGGCAATAGCGCCTGGCAGAGGCAAGCAGGACAACATGCAATAGATGGATTCTCTTTCCATGAACCAGCAAAGATGTGGGAAGGAAAATTCTTATAGTGAACTCAAGAAATCATCTGTCCGTGACAACTTCAGCAAAAATCTTCATCCATACCAGAGCCTGATGTTGACTATGGGATGTAAACCCTCTGCTTGGTCTTCGCTGCCTCGCAGGCATCTACAAATATGAAGCAACACCACCTCTAGCTAAGCCTCCCAGGCCCAAAAGCACATTGCTGTTCCCATCCTCATGGACAAACTCCACTGCAGAGCTGACTCCCAGGCTTATCTGTGTTTATCTGTGAAGCTTATGCTGTTTTGTGGCTGCTTTCTCTTAGCTGGTTCCAACAGGCACTGGCTCCTCCACTTACCTCCACATCATCTCCGCTGGATTTCAACTTGAACCACTTCACCACACAGGTACGGCCAATATGGTCACCGGACTGCACAACTCCGTATAACCCAGGGTCCTGGGAGCTCTGAGCTTTTGGTCGCAATGGTAGGGAAGAAAATAGACAAGTTAAGTGGAGGAGCACAGACGTCACACAGCAACTGAGGCTGTCAGCTCCCAAGCTCTCACAGCTGAAACTTTCCATTTGTGAATGGCATGAGGAAAAACAATTCTTCATACACAGTCAAATTTGTACCCAGCTAATGAGTTGCATTTTAATGGGGCATGGAGTGATGATAAAGTAAGATTATATTGCATTGAACTGGGTGAACACATTCACTTTGGGACCACTTTTGAGGTGGTCGAAAAGACCACCAACAGAAAACATGGTCACCTTAATGCTCTGCTCTCCAAATTAGCTCCGCACCAAGACTGTCAGTTCCTGGACAGGCTGGCCGAGAGCTCCCTGAGAGCAGCCCTGGCTGCAAAGCTCTTCATCTAGAAATGTGCTACCCACAACAGTTTTGCTGCTCTGGAAAAATGGACTGGACAACAAAGGCGGAAGGCAGGCAGGATGCAGGCAGGCATACATGTGCGTATACATGCATCAGGGATCCAACAGCACCAAAGCTGGGCCTGGACCACCTCTCTAGGCCTGGGCTGTTATCCAGATACCTTTCAGATTTATCTGGCTGACAAGATCCACCTCCTGGCATCCTTAGCAGGGGGATGCAAGGAACTGCAGGCATCCCAGACTGCTTGGAGAGTATGTTTGACAGACGGAGGAATACAGATTCCCAGAGGCCAAACTAGAACGGTAGAGCTAGAGCTGATAGATGACTTCAGTTTCCACAAACCATGTCTAATCCACAAGACCAGTCCGACTATTAGTCATCAGAAATGGCCACGCAAAACAGCATCTTTTTTTGCTAAGCCAGCTTTCCCTCTTCCCAATCTGACAGTATCTTGTGCTCCCCACTGTTGAGGGTCTATCCCTGCTAGAACTAAATAGGAGCCGAGAGCCAGATGGTGTGCCATCAACATTTCATATCCAAAAGCTGTAAGTCTCCTTGAACTTGTATTGTGACCCTCACTAGTGTCATCAATTGGTTTGGTGAAGAAAAGGGATGCAAGAAGATGCCTCTGGATCCCAAAACCCTCTCCAAGAAAAAATGGAGGGTCACGATAGGTAAGTCATACAGAGAAAGCAGTGTGAGTCCTTCATTTCTCCCCTTATTCTGCGAGAGAGCTCAGAGCTGTTTGCACTTTCAAGGAGAAGGTGGGCCACCTCTACTCTACAGAAATACTGAGAATCCTAGCTTTGTTCCTTAGCAGTTATTCCTTTCACATCTTGCCTGTTGTCATAGTTCAACCTTGGTATTTAAATAATGGCTCTCTGCTGACATTCGTGTTAAGTCACTTGAATCACTCTCTGTCCCTTGTTAGGTTCTTGTGCCTACCTCAAGTGAGTACTACTAACAGCTACCATAAAAAGGGCTACACTGTACATTAGGAGATCCATATTGAAGGATACTTCACAATTAAGAGCATGTTTGTTCCCTGAGGAGAGCACTGTTTTGACACCCAATACCTCTTTTGTCCACCACAAAATCCCCAGGGCAGAACTCGTTGTTGTCCAGATGGTGGACTGGAATCAGCTCATTGGAGCGAATGTTTGTCTCCACGGTGCCATCCTGCCACATCACGTCAGCTGAAGTCATCGTGGTCACCACTTCTACAGCAACCCTGGGAACACAGAAAGGCAACGAGTTACCAGAGGGAACGTGCATGAGCACAACCAGAACGTGATGCTGCCAACATAAGGCATCAAGATGGATCTCAGCAACGCAAGGGTACACATATCAGCAGGCTGGGAAGCCAGTCAGGAAACCCAGTCAGGAAACCCCATCTAGTCCCAGTGGAAGCAGCTACACAGCAGGCTCTGTTTTGACGGGTTCTCAACCACTGCAGATGTTACATTGCTGCAAGTCTATATTGCAAGAGGACTTACTTTCCAGGGAGGTGATGCTGAGCTCACTTTTATTCCTAGTGGAGCAAATTAACATCTACTAGCACCCACTTTCTACCCCTGGCAGGGGCACGACAGGAGCTTCAAATACTTCAAAACTTAAGATCTTCTCCACTGAAGCACCTTCTAGCCTGGCAGCTCTGAGGAGTCTTTGAAGCTAGGAGCATGGGACTGGAAAGAGAAGATAAAGCAGCATCCATCTGACCCCCTCCAGAAAGAAAAAAGGCAACACATTGAATGTGGGTAAAGCAAAAGGATTTTGTTTAAAAGAGACAAGTCTCCTTCACAGCTGTTCAAACACATACATGTGTGTCTCTGCAGCTCTAAAATGAAACCCAGACATGGTACCACATGCTGGTACTCCCCTGTGGAGCTTGACACAGTTGCTTGAAGAGACAAGTTGCTTGGGGGCAGGAGGAACAGAGCTGCAGTCTAGCTGGACAGGCTCTTGTAATGAGCCCTCCACCACTTTCATGTCTCCTACAGCACAGAACAAGTTGAATCCCATGCTGATTTTAAGTTGTCTTTATTTTGCTGGCCAGGCCTTCCAGACATAACACAAGTGCTGCATTTATGTTGGTTTCAAGTCAAACCATAAAGAAGATACAATAGACAAATACAACTGTTTTCCTCCAGCACTGTTTTTATGAATGTCAGAGAAATATTTAAGTAGAAATAATATGAAGTTTCTAGCAGGGCCAGCGCTCAACAGCAGAAATTATCAGAGAAGGAAATCTGTAACAGGTCAAGTGTGGTGGGTGACATGCCAAGAGATAGTTCCTTGGGGGAAGTGGGGGCATGTGCCGCTGAGGATGGGAGAGTGGAAAGGCAGGCCACCCAAGGAAATGATACAGTCCTGTCTGCAGTGCAGTTTACGCTGCTTCACAAACAAAAATCATGACTTGGCATTAGTAAAAATCCCTGTATATCCTCACTAAAAAATAACCAGAGGTCTATGTGCTGCCTGGAGAGCTGCAGCAAGTCACTAAGTGACAGTAAAGCCACACGCTGAGTTGGCCCCCTGCAGTCAGAGATGCCCATGAGCCAACACATCAGATCTGGTGACTAACTGCAGCAAGCCCATCCACTTTGCATTTCTCAGCAGTGCTTGGCAGCACACCTACTGATGGTGTCACCAGCTTCATCTGAATATTCAAACAGTGAAGACCCCTCATACTGAGCTGCGACCAGCTGCCACATATGCCCTTTAAAGTATCAGCTGGGGTTTCACGTTCTGTGCTTAAAAACCTGTATTTCTTGTTCTATGACATGGTCATCTCTGCAAAGCGTTCCAACATCCGATCTCTGCAGAGCTGCCCAGATCCAGCACAGGAATCTCTTGGTGTTGTCACAGGGATTTCTCCCCACTGCCTGAATGGTGCAAAAAGCTACCAGGTTTACTAGCTAAGCTCTCCTTAGCAGAGCCTTTAGTGAAGTAGAGGCACTCAGCAGGGGGGTAAGAAGTGAAGAGTGAACTGAGAATCAGTTCCCAGGCACTCTATCATGCACTCCCATTTTTTTTTTTTTTTTCTTTCACTCGAATACTTATCTGCTCATTTCTGTGACCTTCAAAATCCAATTTCTCCAAAACCCACAAGGACTAAAGGAACAACTCTCCTTGCATACAGGCAAAGCTAAAATACCCAAACAAAATGTGAATGAAGTTCACAGCATTCTGAAACTACTGGATCCCTTGAATCCTGATGTCACTTTTCTGGGAAGATTCTCACATATTATCTGTACTAGTTCATTTCTGATGCAGGATCTGTATACAACTAAGTAGCCCAGGGAAGCCAGCAAGACAGGCTAGCCAGCTGTCTTTGCATCCCCTGAAAACAGTTTAAACATTCTCAAATTAGGTAAAAGGTAAAAGCTGCTGAGATCCAGTTTTATCTAGAAATGGGCAGATACATGCAGTGCTCCTTCCCCCAAGTTACTGAAATAAATTCCTCCAAGGCTCTCAGGGAGTGCATTTTGTTCATTAAAAACCCAGTAAGGAGTGTACTGCTGGCAAAAGTTGCAGATCTCTCTCCAGAGCAGGGTAAGAATTAACAGAGACCACTGCAGTACAAACTCCTGCCAGCACAGACCTCCGTGCTGATCTGGAGACAGCTCTCTGAGGATAAGCTGTCCGCTCCCACTAGCATGGTCTATCCTCAGCCTCTCTGCAGAAGCTGCCAATGAGGTAACCAATTAGTGTCATGTTTAAGCTGTACGATCTTTATTCACCTGCCTCTTTCTCTGCATACAGCCTAGCACAGCACAGATACGCTGTTGATGCCCTGAGGCATAGCTGAGATAGAATAGCATCGGTGTCACATCACGTGGCCCCATTTTCATCAGAAGCTGGACCGAGACCAAGCTGATTTCAACCAGGCCACCGCACAGTCATCAGGAGATAATCGCTGTTGGTTACTACCAAGGGGTGTTCTAACATGAGGCACACCATCAGCCTCCACCCAAGCTGAGGAGGTGGTTTACATCTGAGAACTTCAACACAGGATATTTTGGCAAGTATACCTGCATTTGGAAATCCAACTCACCTGTCTCCTGGCTTAAACTCTCGTGAAATCTTGGTCTTCTTTTTCTTGTGCTTCCGCTTCAAGTTTTTGATGGAAAGAGGGATGCTCTTCTTACGGCCAGTGCCACTGCCACTCTGGGATGAGGCAGTGGAGCTAGCAGAAGAGGTGACAGAGCTAGTGTCATCAGTGTCATCAGCTGCCTCATCATCAGCATCTTGCTCCATGGACTGAAGCCGATAGTCAGACGACCCTTCGTCTTTCAGCAGAAAGGGAGGCTGCTGCTGTCGCACTGCTGCTCCCCCTTTCTCCTTCCCTGTTTCTTCAGGCTGCTCCTCCTTCCTCTCCCCAGGACTTGGTGCACTGTTGGAAGAGTCATCCAGCTCACACTTTGATCCAGGCTTAAGCTCTTCTGATTTTTGGTCAGCAGCTGCAGCAGACTCTTTGTCAGGGGCTTCATTGGTACCCTGAGACTCTGGGGAGCATGACATGATCTTCACTATCTGCTTCTTCAGCAGCCGCCTCACCTAGAGAAAGCAGACCTGGGTCAGATAATATGCCTGTACACTCAGCAAGCTGCCAGCCAACCTGGGGAATGGTTAGCTTTGTACACAGAGGAAAACAGCACCCCACGGGCCTCTGCACATTTCACCTGCACCAGAGTATTCTGCAAACCAGCATCTCACCACTGCTCTACTCAGAAGCAAATATCAGCCAGTTCCCGAGCAGCATTGGACTAGTCCAAGGAAAGTGAGTTTTGCTCTTTAAGGCTATTTTAAGCATGTTCTAAACTTTTTGTTATGGGAAGTCACAAAAGGCTGCACAAGTTAATCTATGTAACAGACACAGCTATGCAGGGAGATCTCCATCCACACTGCTGATATCCTGTTATTCTAGGAACACCACTGCTCTACAGCCAGCATGTAGAAACCATAGCATGACTCATTTGGCCTAGGAAGCAAAGACTTCTTTCTTGTCTCACTGTAGCAAGGATTTGACTGAACAGTTCAGCTCCATAAGAAACCTGAGGTCATGCTAATGAAAATGACACGTGTAACAGTCCCAGCTGTCACAGCACACCAGCTCTGACACAGCTTGACCCCTGCAAGGTGACACCTCTATGTTCAATGTCCTGTTCACGTTCTCTCGTGGTATTAGCTGCATGTTTCACCCAGTGCAGCGAGACTGCTGTACAAGGTGACTTCGCTGCTGGCAACAACAAGCCATTACTCTTCACAACAACCACTTCAGGAGTCACATTTCAGACCACATGACTGCCAGAAAGATTTCTGCTTTAAAAGCCACAGTGACCAGAAATGCTTAGAGAAGTCAATGCCTCCCTCGACCCCGCAACTCACCTTTTTGGCAACTGATCCTTCACCCAGGACACAGTTCCTCTCGGGGCATTCACAGGTGATTTTTGCAGGTTCCACTTTGTCTGGGAACACATAGAGGCATCTTTCCCCAAGCTGCCTTTGGGCATGGTCAAAGCACCCTAGACGCTTTACCCTGGTAGAACAGGACGACAGCCATGAGCAAAGTGCAAAAGCAATCACAGAACCCAGCAGCGACCAGGGCCTTCACAAGGCTGGCATGACCTCATGCCAGCAGCACTTCCTCTGGGGTGGCAGAAGCCAACAACAAATCTTTTCCAGTCACACAGTTCTAAAGGAAGAGTGGGAAATCTCACTAGGGACTGGGTGGGGATATAAAGGGTTTGGGTAGGACATCAGCCACTCCTCTGCCTCTAGCTCCCCCTCCCAGAGACAGCTGCCAAGAGACATTTGAAGTTGGCATTGGTTTTTTTGCTGTCATCCCAGAGCTCCTCTCCTCTAGCTTCCTTATGAGCTCCAGGCAGGAACTACGCTGCATTGTGCTATTACTCATCTGACTTTTCTTTCTGAATTTTGTCCAGCCCATTTTTGCAGCTGCAGCCTGTAGAGGGCACCAGATGCTCCCTCAGCACCAGCCTGGGTCCAGAGCAGGACACCTTAGCTGCCTACTGCACACACACAGTTAAAAGGTGCAGCCTGCTCCAGACACGAGTGGAAGGACAAGGGAAGAAGTGAGCTGTTGCCAGACACCACTTTCCTCTCTATGCACTTGTCAGATGGAGAGTACTTGGAGAGGATTGGTGGGATGCTAGCCCCTGTATTGGTAACTCTAAGTGTCTGCTAAACTAATTTGGAAGCCATTCTCTCACATTTTTGAAGCTCTGGAATATACAGGCATACAACAATGAGAAAACCGCACTGGAAACAGCATTGTTGTGTCTAATCAGTTGGTAGGCATGGCACCAATAGTCTGTGCAGGCCCCGGGTGCTGGGAGTGAAAAGGGGTTTTCAACTGATCTCACCTGGACAGGTTCTCCTGGCTGATTATGGAGGGAGGAGGGCTCACACTGTCAGTACCTCCAGGACAGAAGCTTTTAGTGATCCAAGTAACCTTTAGTTCTACCACCTGTACCTACAATGTAAAGAGAGAGAAAGCAATTTAATTTTTCAGAAGCTTTCCTAGACCAATGTCTAGGATCTGAATGCACAGGAAAGCAGCAAACCTGCTTTTATCATTTAAGATGGCCAACTGCAGTTTCACTGCATCCGGGACTACTACAGTGCTCCCATAGCATGGCTCTTGGCAACACCGAGAGCTTCTACAGTTTTTAACTTCAAGACAGACAACATCTGGCTTGGGAAGGAAGGTATAGTACATACAAATCAGCGGTCCAATGTCACAAAGAGACATGCTAATGGACTTGGAGCTGCTCCCTCTTTTAGCAAAGAGTCAGCAACATTCCTCCCTTTTTTGATAGCATGCAACATTGAGCTTTAATAGAAGAGGTGCTTCTGCTACCCTAATGATCAGCAGTACTGGCCTCTAAAGTGTATTGGCACATGATCACCTTACAGGGTGCTAGCAGGGATCCTTGGGAGTAAAAGCCAAGCCATGCTCAAAAGTCCTGTCAGTCCACAGTGAGGAATTTGTTACCTCAGGAGAACAGAGCCACAGTGCATTTGCTCTTGGAAGGTTACCATGACAAGCTGACTCTGTTCCAAAACGCCAGCCAGGGACCGTTCTGTGCAGAAGGTGGCCGTGTGTCAGCTTGTCAGTTCTTACCTCTTCCACCACCACTCTGAACTTGCTCTTTGTGCTCAGAACAGGCTTCACACCCGAGAGCCACTGCACACTGGAAAAGACTTTAGAAGGCCCGATGAGGACTTGCCCAGGATAAAAGCCATATGAATCATCAAAGAAGAGACCCTGTGGGGGAAAGGGAGGGGAAGAAACAGCATAAAGGTCACTTGCTCTTAAGATTTAAGATTCCAGCATTTCTCTTCTGTTCTCTCATTTGTGATCAGTAAGATTAACCATAAAGGAAAAGTCTGCAAGTTGCCCATCTCTTAAAGCTCATTCCTCTCCTGAAGTCAGCCCAGCAGTTCCTATAGCAACCCGCTCTGTCACACATCCGTATGGGACTATGACTCAGTAGGGGAGAAGCAAAGATACTTGGAGGAAACAAAAGATGTGGATTTCCACACAAATGTTCTCAATAATGAAGTAGGCAAGGTGGGCTGAGTCCAGGGCAAGGACACCCATCTCTTTTCCATGCTCTAATTCAAGCACCTACAGCTTTCAGAGCCAGAGGATGCCTGCCTTCACTCCTCTGCTTGTCAAATTAAGTTTGTAAGTATTACTCCTGTCTTAAGTGGATTAGTTAATATGACAGTTCTTTGAAAACAAAACAGGATGGTAAACAGAACAATTTCTGTCCTAGAGCTCTTTCCCGCTGCTATTTAGAGTGATTTGATGAGCCGAAGATTCAGAATGTGGGGGCGGACAGAGCAGTTTAGGGCAGATAAAATACTGAGCACAAAACTGTATCGTTTGTTAGAAAGGATAAGAGCAGTGCGACAAGATCTAAGTCGGGTAAGTATCTAAGACACAGCAATTCTGAGTACAGGATCAAGAGTAACACTGGAGACAACTCATGTTTCAGACCAATCGCAAGTCTCCAGAGGACTACGTACACTTTAAAAGCAGCCTGACTCAAAACAAGGTATCTCAAAATTGGGTACCCAGAAGCTGGATGCTGCTACAGCATCCATTTAGCAAGCAGAAAACGTACTGCACAACCCAAAGTAGCAGAGTCTAAGATACTGGAGAATATCTAGCAACAAACCACACCTTTTCTGTACAGAACAAGAAAACCACAGCAGCACATCCTATTAAACTGATATTCCATTTACGCTTCAAGAAACAGGCATGAAATTTTAACAGAAGTGCAGTTTTAGATCAAAGGGAGCTTTACTTTGAAGGCTGGGAAGGATAAGGGCTGACTGCATTGCTAGTTCCTAAGCATTACACGCCATTCTCAGTCAACTCCCAATACCGCTGCCAGGAGTGCAGCAAGGCCCTACTGATGCTGTTTGGAAGAACAAGCAAGCTGTCATCAGCCTTTGAAGGTGAGAGGTTAGATCTCATCATCACACAGGGAACTATGTTTTACCCAGAAGCTAGCAGAACCTTCCCCACCACGTGACTTGGAAAATGCCAGTATGGTGGCAGGTCTCCATTCAGAGAATGCAATGGATTACAATAGCAAGAGAGACAGTATTTTACATGATCTGGAAATGTGCTTCTAGCAGAACACCTTTTAAACAATATGCCCTTTTCCAGAAGGGGAACAATTTTGAAAGCATTAAATGGAGTAAGAGCCTTTTCAAGCATGTACAGATATAATGAGCAGACAGTGAACTGCCTTGACATCAGCCATCTGACTGCATGTTATGCAAGTTGCTTGCAAAGAAAGCAGTTGGATATACTAATTGTAATACCTCCTCAAAACCTGCTCATTACTAACATTAGCTTTAAGGTAGATCCTGTTATGCTTACTTCAAGTGAAGATCTAGTGAAGTGTTTTTCAGCTGTGATGCATCGTTTAATTTTTAGGATTTAAGTGCCTATGGTTTTGCCTTCCCCCTCCCTCCTGCACAAAAAGCTTACAAGATGAAGTTGATCAGTGTATTGGGTTTGCGTGGCAAGGTTTTGGTAGCGGGGGGGCTGCAGGGGTGGCTTCTGTGAGAAGCTGCTAGAAGCTTCCCCCATGTCCGATAGAGCCAATGCCAGCTGGCTCCAAGACGGACCCGCTCCTGGCCAAGGCCGAGCCCATCAGCAACAGTGGTAGCGCCTCTGGGATAACGTATTTAAGAAGGGGAAAAAACCTGCACAACTGCAGCTGAAGAGAGGAGTGAGACTGTGTGAGAGAAACAACTCTGCAGACACCAAGGTCAGTGGAGAAGGAGGGGGAGGAGGTGCTCCAGGCACCGGAGCAGAGATTCCCCTGCAGCCCATGGTAAAGACCATGGTGAGGCAGGCTGTCCCCCTGTAGCCCATGGAGGTTAACGGTGGAGCAGATATCCACCTGCAGCCCATGGAGGACCCCACACCAGAGCAGG